GTGTGTGTATGCGCGAGTGTGTGTATTCATGTGTGTGTGTGTGTGTGTGCATGCGCGCGTGTGTGTATACATGTCTGTGTGTGTGTATATGCGCATGTGTGTATGCATGTGTGTGTGTGTGCATGTGTGTGTGTGCATGTGTGTGTATGCATGTGTGTGTGTGTGCATGTGCGCGTGTGATCGGATGTTGTTTATACATTTCCACAGTTTTCATCCGGTTTTGATGGAAATCTTTTTACTTGATAGATAATTCTTCAATGCTGGATTTGAGTCCAAATTGTTGGAGACAATGGCTCTCCACTACTTCCTGTTCATTATAACTCTCTGCAACATTTTACTATTTGTTCTTGGATATATCTCTTTCATAAAAACTTTAATAAAAATAGTTTAAATTATCACAATAATATTATTTATTATTATACAGTTCCCTTTTCAGTTGCACCCAAATGCTGTTACTAATATTGATTTTTGGCTGGGCTGACATTAAACTTAAATTGCTTTAACTGAACAGCAAAAATTCCCAGCAATTAAACACCCGGGCAAAGCCGGGTTATACTGCTAGTGATAAATATGACGAATTTTGAAAGTGTAATACTAGGTTACATCACCTGCTAAGATTTGGATCTTACATTAAACTAAGTGTTGAGGGGTTCTCCCCTTTTTACACAAATGGACTCACCCAGTATATACATATACTACGGCTACGTGAAGAGCCGAGAGAGCAAGACCGAACAGAGTCGAGTCGAGTCGAGTCCTGTCCAGAGTGACAGAGTAAAAGGTTGTAGGTCACCGGAAGAGTGAGGGTGAGGTAACAGCGTTGTAGGAATCACAGTGAGCAAGCACGTAGACTCAGTAAGAAGTCATACAGCGATACTTCAATACCAAAGACTGTATATATATTTTGCTACTAACCCATATTCTTGAACTACTAACCTGCTTTACCAGTTTGTATTATTACGTTAATACATTATTTTCATATATTCATTCCTGCCGTTTGTTATTTATTGGTACCGGATTTAAACCCGGAATATACAACACTAAGGAAAGGCTATACGAATATTGGTTATATGAAATGTGCCTTTGACATCGATTCATTGTTTTTTGTTTATCTATATAAATAAATGCGATTGTTAGTGTGTCATACTTTCTCAACTTTACTCCTAGAGAGCGTAGCCCAACATATCATACCAATTTCGAATCAAACCTACTCCGTGAGCAAATTAAAACATTCCAGGCTGATCCGGACACACAATCCTGAAATTTTGGATTCCCAAGTTTTAATTATGGCGATTGTTTTCGCCGATTTTTACGAGATCTTTTGCGACGAATTTTTTGTACGATAACAATTTTTATAACTTGAAAATAAATTTTGGAATAATCGAAATTAATTGCGAAATCCAGCGAAAGTCACCCAGGAAATAATAATAATTGTTTTACAGAAATTAAGGATCTACGTACATCAAATTGTCTTTAAATTAAGTGGCGACAGAAAAATTATCGATGAACTTTTAAAACATGAGCCTAAATATACATGCAATCCCCACCAAATGCACCGATGAATTTCGAGTTCTGAAGTTCATTGTTGTCTATCGCATACGTCAGCAGGATGCCTCGCAAAAAGAAATCCCTGCCTACAGAGGAACAGATTGCAATTAAAATGTCCGAGACTGCAGCGAGGAAAAGAAAGTACCGCGTAAATGAAGACCCAGATCAAACGCCAGCCATGAGAGTTTCGCGGTGTTGAGAATATGCAAAGACTTAGGGATTCTCAAACTCCTGAACACGCTGAAGATCCAATTAAGAGACCTCCAGAGGATCTAGCTTAAATGCCGACTGATAGGGCGGCTTTTAAGCTAGTTTATTAATATTCCTTGTAGTTGTTTTCTCTGTAACGGGTTGTGTCCAACTTTTATCTAAGGTAACGTTTTTGAAATCTAAATTATCGCCTGGTTTTATTAACTACGAAATTTAATGGGTTATTCCAAAATCTATTTTGTGTCCATAGGCAGATTCATTTAATCGTTTGAGAGATCCTTTTTTGCCTTCCATAAGCATGGCTGATGCTAACCTCCAGAAAAAGGTGACTCCTTGCTCCTTCTCGGGCTAACGTTCTAGGCTGACATGAAGTAGAAAGATTATATTGAATCCATTGCTAGGTCTGCTGCTCGGAAAGTTGGTCCACTGTGTCGCGCTAGACAATTTTTCTTGCCAGAATCTATCTCATATATTAATGTCTGTCATTCGCCCTCGCTTTGAATATTGCTGCCACATCTGGTCTGTTGGTTCTACAATGTATTTAGACATTCTTGATAAAAAGAAAATCTTCAATATTATTGGTCCTGACGTGGTATCTCGGTTTTAGTCATTACCTATCACCGTACGTAGCTTTCCTGTGCCTTTTCTATAAACACTTTTATGGCAATAAAATTTCCTCTGTGGTACCTAGACTTTAAGAATTTAAGTGCAGTACTCGATTGACGATAAAGTCTCATATTCCTACAGGTGAAACGGCTAGTTGTAATCGTAAGTTTTATGCTAACAGTTTCTTCTCTCGCACTTCTCACTTGTGGAACTCTCTCCGGGTTTCTTAATTTCAAGTTAACTTGGATCTTCAAAACTTCAATTGCAATATCGATCGTTATCGTTTATCTTCTTAATTCTTGTTCTTTAATTATTCTCTCTCTTTAATAATAATGTTTTCTTTTCTCATATTCTCTCACCTTGAGCCTTAGCGGCTTTATTACCTTACTTGAGATGAAATATTTACGTTTACATCAGTTTTAAACAAGAAATTGTTAAGGAAAATAAGAAATGTGGAGAAATATATTCAGAAAGAGAAAACTAAAATAAAAAAATGAAGGCGATGGTGGTTGAAAAATGTTCACCCCACCCAGGACATGTTTAAGGCAACTGAAGGAGATGGAATTTGTAAATAACATGTCTAATTAGTCTTGTGAATAGATAATAAAGGATTAAAGAGGTATATTAAAGAGTTAACAATAGAAAAAAAAATTATATGGAGAGCCATAAGCTTCCATGTCCTGCAATGTCTGGAATCATAAGAAATTCCATTTCTCATTATTATTATTATTATTAGTAGTAGTAGTAGTAGTAGTAGTATTAGTAATAGTAGTAGTAGTAGTAGTAGTAGTAGTAGTATTATATTGGTGTCGGACATTGATGCAACCAATGGAAATTCTTTTCTTGAGAAATGGTGGCAACAAGACTCTTGACAACTCAAGAACCTTTTTTGAGAATCCTCGCAGAGTAAATGATGGCAGTTTTCTGGAGCTCTACAATCTTGGTTTCAAATCTCTAAGCACTCTTTCAAGTTTTGCGGGTTGTGTTCCAAGTGCACCCGTTACTACAGGAATTACTTCAATAGTCATGTTCCATATCCTTTTCAACTTCCTATAAATATTCTGGTATTTTTTAGTCTTTCTAGTTTCTTCGTAGTCCACTTTTGTATCATATGAAACAGCAAAGTCAATAATTTCATACTTGATACTTTCGCTTTCTCAATGCGACTTCGGATTTCAGTGTCACCATTTCTGTCTTCTGTTTAATCACTGCCCAGATATCTTAAACGTTGCAGTTGTTTGATTTTTGATTTTGGTATCTCCGCTTTGTAATTTGCATGCCCGGCTGTTCATTTTGCTGACAAGCACAGAAAGTGATAACAATACATTTTGCTCTCTCTTCACTCATCAGTAAGCATTATAGTAATATCATGGGTAAGCATGAATTGTAAAAAGTCTTACATTATTATTATTATTATTATTATTATTATTTCGTTGTCGCAAATTGATGTAGTCAAGGGAAATTCTCTTCTGGAGGCATGGTACCAACAAGACTCTTCAAAACTCAAGAACATTTTTAACGAATCCTCGCAGATTAAATAATTGGCAGTTTTCTGGCGGTATACCATGATAGTCTCATTTCGAATTTTCCCTAAGCACTCTTTCAATTTGCTTGGTGATGTTCCACGCGCAACCATTACTAAAGGAATTACTTCAACATTCACGTTCTATAGCTTCTCCAGCTCCCTAGAGAGATCCTGTTATTTTTCAGTTTCTTTAGTGTTCGCGCTTGTATCCTAAGTTAAGAATTGGACACTTACTATTTTTAGTGAGTCGGGGGAGTCTGCTCTTAGCGAAGAATACACTTCTCTGAACTGGCGCTACAGAATCACAAAGAACTGTACCAGAACAGAAACCGTTTCAGTTGAGAATTATCATCATCAGCAACAGGTAAAAAGGATATCACATGTAATTGGGAGAGAATATAAAGATATAATCAAAATATTGACATTCCACACTACTTCAAATAAAAGGTTAGAAATTAAACTCCCATCAATACTGTAAAGAACTATAACAGCTAGTGGGTCTGAGAAACTTCTTTTTTTTTTTTTTTTGAAAAATTGTTTTAAGGAAAAGGTTTTATAAATTTCAACCGACAATATTACAAGCTGTTCGGCCAATGACTGGCGAAAGATTCTTTTATCTCGAAGTCTTCGTGTTTTAATGACATAATTTGTCTTGAGTGAGAAATTCCATATCTTGTTGACTGTCATTTTCTACCAGTGCCTCTGACTGATATTCCTACTATTTTTCTTTCTTCTTGGACATTAAAAAAGATTACTGTATACTTCCCATTGAATTCTCTTACCAATCCGATCGTGTTGTCATTTATACTCTTTCTGCGTCAACTTGGGACCAAGTATGTGGTTACTTGCCTCATCAGCTTGACGTACATCCTGCATTTGCTTTCTTCCCGTGATTTATCTATCTTGACCTTGATTGCAATTCTTTCTGATGGCCTGCAACTGTGCTGCAAATATGTGACCCTGTTTCTCTCTTTACAAGACCATCTTTTGCCCAAAGCCACTTACTCAGCTTCAGTAACTGTCTCTGGCTTCTGTCCACATATGGCAACAAAACTCTTTTCCTTTTTGTTAGTCTAATCTAACGCTTGTAAAAAAAAACAAAAAAAACAAAAGCATGTTAGGAATAAGGTTCTTCTTCTTCTTCTTCTTCTTCTGCTCCTCCTCCTTCTCTTTCTCCTCCTTCTTCTCCTCCTCCTCCTTTCCTCCTCCTTCTTCTCCTCCTCCTCCTTCTTCTCCTCCTCCTCCTTCTTCTCCCCTTCCTCCTCCTCCTCCTCCTTCTTCTTCTTCTTCTTCTTCTTCTTCTTCTTCTTCTTCTTCTTCTTCTTCCAGTGTCCCTTCAGAACGAGGGCGATCATGGCACTACAACTTCCTGTCCCTTGTGGTTCAGTATAGTTAGTCTTTTTGCTATCTCTTCTAATCATTGTTCCGACAACGAATTACACAAGATCATAGTTTATTCAATGTTTTCCTTTGCCTGTTGCCTTCAATATATAATGTGCAGGTAAAAATAATTGCTAATGGTAATGATAATTGTAATTATTAGCCGTTTCTTTATAAGAAAATAATCGGAATTCATTACATTACTATAGAAATGCATTTTAAATAGTCTTATTGTAGAAAGATTGTGCAGTAGGCCAGTTTGAATTTTCACATATTTTAGAAAATGAATATTGCACTTAGTACGAAATCTGTAGCTAGATGTGATAAGTACTAACATCAAAAATTAGATTCATAGCTTTAACCGATTTTTGAGCATTTAGTTTTAAAAATATGTACAGAAATACCAAATTTTGGCAGGTTTTTGCTTACAAACTGATTTCAAAATTTTAATATTTCAAAAAAAAAAGAAGAATCTAAATAAAGTTAATATTTTTTGTATTAGATTCATTGAATGGAAAATATATTAAAACCAGAATTCTAATTATGAATCTCCATAAGCAAAATGTGCAATTTTTACTGTGATTGATTTGCGAAAACTGTAAAAATTGTAAAAGATTAAATAAGGCTAATCAATACATAAGATCTTAAACCATTTATTGAGTCATAATTAAAATTCAAAAATTAGATAAAAGTGTATATAACACCATAACACTGCTGGGCACACATTATAAGACAAAATGTTTTAAATTTGCATTGTTTATTGACAATCACACAAAAACTACTGAACTGTATAACACATTACATAATAATACAGCTAAATTGTTCAATATAATTTCCTTTTGAGGTAAATGAAGATCTTATATGATGGCAAAATCATTTAGCAATAATACGCTCTTACCTTGCTTCTTATCCAAATACAATTTATAAACGTTCAGTACACCGCTGTGCAAATTAATTGTAACAAAACGAATAATTCCGTTATTATTTTTTTTTTTTTATATTTTTCCAATTAAACATGTCCCAGTGCACACGTTAGTACTTTGTATGTCCATTCCACGAAGTTGTTCCTTGTAGATTGACCACAAATTCTCGAATAGATTTAAATCAGGAGAGTTTCCAGTCCAGTCTGTAGTACTTTGATTTGCTCACTAGTAAGGTTTACTAGTGTGTTCTTACAGCGTTACAATTTTCGTACACTTCCTTGGAGTAACGTCCAACACAGAAAATAGCCGTAGTACAACTAATCGACAGTTGAGACAATAGTGATAAAAATCTGATGCATTCACGGATGACACAATATTTGTCAAGGCCAAACAAATTTCATCATACACCCTAAAAATAGATTCATATTACTGCGCACCACAGCAAATGACCTAATCAGAGGAAAAATAAAAATCGATTACACCCCGTTACTCCAGTGGGTCTAAAACTGACTGTATGGTGAAAGAAAGGAAACTAAAGTGGTTGTTTCAATTAATTTGTACAAGGGTGTAGTTTATTTAACTGCTCTTTCCACGCTTTGAAAATATGCAGGTAAACTCCAACATTGTCACATTTAATAGAACCTCTTACAGTTCATTATTGGAAACACCTTCTTCAAGCGCAGGTTCACAAATTCCATTTTGTGAGAGGTTAATCAAATTTGGGTCGTGTATCGCTTCAGAGTTGATGAATGTCATTTTTTTTAATCTCTTCTTTTGTGGCTCGCTACTTCTGAAGCAAAAAAAATTATTTTTATTGGAAAATTTACCCATACTTGATTATATTTTTGCGGTGTAATTTGAATGAAATTTTAAAATTAGTCTTGCAAATTGACATAACTAATTAAGTATGAATTAATGTTTACTTATTTAAGTAAACACAGACTTGTAGGACACATACTTGAAATGTAATTAAGGTCCTTCAGCACTGTGGGTGTTGAAGAAACACAAATGGGCCTGAGCAGACGGGTATGAACGGAAATGAACAGCCATACTGAAGATAAGAAATTGCACTGATTTGTAGTGTCGAAACATCTCTGATGTTGATGATGATGATGATGATGATGATGATGATGATGATGATGATGAAAAAGACCCATGTTATTAGAAATGACTGAATATATACTATCAAGGAGGCTTTACCATTTTTCAGTATATTTTAATAGAAACACTATGAATCCATCTCTTCTTCCCCCAGCTATTTGACTAAACAAGAAAACAGACTGAATATTCCAGCCGTTATTGGCAACCAGTATAGGAGAAGAACAACTCTGAATTCAATACCGCATATTGCTTTGGTAGGACACATGCTTGAAATGTAATTAAGGTCCCTCAGCACTGTGGGCGTTGAAGAAACACAAATGGGCTCGAGCAGACGGGTATGCTTGGAAATGAACAGCCATACTGAAGATGAGAAATCGCACTGATTTGCAGTGTATTTTCAAGTCGAAACATCCCTGATGATTATGATGATGATGATAAAAAAGTCCCATCTTATTAAAAATGACTGAAAATATCCTATGAAGGAGGCTTCACCACTTTTCAGTATATTTTAATAGTCATTAAAAAAAAAAGGTGCCTCATAGTAAACCGCTCTTTGAGTATAACGGGTTCGTTTGTTTTCATAGATCTAACAGGCTGGCTCTAGGTGCTTGTTGTTTTTCGCTGCGTTGACATTCGTATAAATATAAGGCTATGATTCCATCTCTTCCCCCACCAGCTATGGGTTAAATAGCAGGACAGACTAGACTCGTTTAGCTGTCGTTGGCAGCCTGTATAGGAGAAAGATAACTCTGAAGTTAAAACCGTATGTGGGTCACATACTCGGACAGAAACTAAGGTTCGCTCAGGAGAGTTGTATAAATCCCAGGTTGGTTTAGTGAAGAAATATAAATGGGCCTGAGTAGACGGGCTTGTTTGAAAACGGGCGGCTCTGCTGAAGATTCAAATTCGCACAGATTTGCAGTGTGCCTTCAAGTCGAAACTTCTCTCATAGTACAATATGAATGCAATGTTTATGAGTTTGCTACTGAAAAATTGAAATCCAGTGGTCAGTAAATTAATTAAAACAAGCTATATAAGCATATGTACATAGAAATATGTGTATGTGCATTAAATCGTTTTGCACACCTGACGAAAATCTTTACGTACACATTTCTTAAACCAACTTACAGGAAACGTCTTTATCGTTCTCGTAATCAGAGGAAAAGCAAAAATATAAGCTACGCTTTAAGGTTTTTAATTAATTAAGAAAAACCAGATGCACATGCTTAGGATTCTATTAGACTAATCAAAAGTTTTAAGTTATGACCTCGTTCCATTTGAAAGGTTTAATCTCCCAAAGGCAGATGGAAAAAAATGGCTGATTTTGCTTTTCAATTACCGGTGCTATTATTAATGTTTAATTACACCTCATCTTATTATTATAATTATTATTATTGTTGTTGTTGTTTTTGTTGTTGTTGTTGTTGTTGTTTGTGGGGATGGTGTTTTATTTTATTTGTATCAGAATTTCTAAAGGTTCACTTTAGGATTCTGATCTTCTACAAAGTCTGTAACATGTGGGAAGTAATCAGCCTTACTCTCCTATTTTAAACCATGAGAAAGGTTTGAATTCAAAGTTTTCCATTTAGAGCAGTTTAACAAAGCAAGAGAGCCCACTCTGGTATACTATTTAGCGCATTACCGGATGGATAAGTGATAGATTCATGCCTTTTCCATGGGAGTTAATACAATAACACACACACACACACACACACACACACACACACACACACACACACACATATATATATATATATATATATATATATATATATATAGGAGTGGGTAGGATAAAAAATCTACATACACGTACATATGCTTGCACGTACGTATAAATATCTTTCTTTCTCAGTTGTTTATAAATACAGTGCTCAATGTTGTGAAACAGAGCCATGTATATATTAGTGAATATACATAATATCCAACGTCGATAACACTACTCGGAGTTTCATGTTGTTCTTGCAATCTTCAGGTGAAAATATATAAAGATTATATGTTCATTTGAAGATTGGAAGAATTGCATGAAACCCCGAGTCCACCTATCGACATTGGATATTATTTATATTCACTAATATATATATATATATATATATCTTGATGTGTAACTGGGCAGCAACCTTTCTTTTAAATAGTGTTATAAAAGAAAGCCTGTACATAAAACATCTCTCCCCTACTAATAATCTTACCTTGTTTAACAATGGCAACGGAGGGTTGAATGTCTCTTAAAATTCCAGCCACGACCAACACACGATGTCTCCGAATTAAGCTCCTACTATAATTCACAAATAATAGATCTCATCCAGTCAGAAACATGAAAATTAACTAACAACACCAAAAACGATTCCTTTGAAAATGGTTAAAGTGGGTGAAAGCGCTTGGGACAATCGACGATATGGACAGTTTTATACTTGCTCACTACCACCAAGCGAAAAACTAAATAAAACATTAACAAAGTTTTCCTTGTCCGTTATATGGTTTGGTTTATTTTGTTTAACGGCATATCGACACCTCAATGGGTTATTTAATGCTGACAACATTTTTAGGATAGATTCGTATGAATAGAATATGTATTCTTTGGCTTAGATTGGTTTGCTTTATTTTGTTTAACGGCATATCAACCTCAATGGGTTATTTAATGCCGGCAACATTTTTAGGACAGATTCGTATGAATAGAATATGTATTCTTTGGTTTATATTGGTTTGCTTTATTTTGTTTAACGGCATATCAACCTCAATGGGTTATTTAATGCTGACAACATTTTTAGGATAGATTCGTATGAATAGAATATGTATTCTTTGGCTTAGATTGGTTTGCTTTATTTTGTTTAACGGCATATCAACCTCAATGGGTTATTTAATGCTGACAACATTTTTAGGATAGATTCGTATGAATAGAATATGTATTCTTTGGTTTAGATTGGTTTAGTTTAATTTGTTTAACGGCATATCAACCTCAATGGGTTATTTAATGCCGGCAACATTTTTAGGATAGCCTCGTATGAATAGAGTATCTATTCTTTGGTTTAGATTGGTTTGGTCTATTTTTGTTTTACGGCATATCAACCTCAATGGGTTATTTAATGCTGACAAAAAATTTATTGCTGGTAATATTTTGTTTTGTCAAAAATCTGTTTCTGGTAATATATTTCCTTCAAAATTGTATTACTGGTAATAATTTTTTTCAAAAAAGTATTGCTGGTAATAGTTAACTATTTGCCCATGGCTGGGACCCTAAAAGGTGCTACCACTCCCGGTCAGGGTGGACCTGGGAACACCAGCAATTAAGAGGTGGTTCCACGCTCCTCAAAACCTCCTGATCAGAGGCCTTGCTGCTGGACGTAGTTTATCGTCTTACCCAGGGCGCGGATGTAGTTTAACGTCTTACCCAGGACGTTTCCGTTATATATATATATATATATATATATATATATGTAATATTATATTACGACCTTTTGAACATTATATTTTATTTACTGGATATTATGACTTCAAAACAGTTTTTATCACATTTGTAGTACAAAGAAAAGTTACCAGAGGACCATTTCGGCCTTTTGTTCGAACAAGTTTAAAATCACGCTTTCAGTTTGGAGATATACCGTATATACTCGTGTAACGTGCGATCTCGCGTATTGTGCGACCCCCAAATTTTCACTTATAAAAAATGATTTTATCAAGTATCTCGTATATCATGCGAGTTCCTTTTTTGAGAGACTAAATCACAAATCTTTTGCTCTATCGCTTTATCCCATCTTCTAGTTAAATAAGTTAAAAATAGTAAAAGAGAATGATAAAAGTAGCGTTAGTAACGCTATACTCGTTGCATAAACGCGTACAGCCATAAACAACCGAACGAGAAACAGCTAAACATCTTATAAACGTAAACAATGAAAAAGATGCATATTTGTTATGTTTGTATTTTATAATACAATACTAATATTGGAATATTACAAGCATTCTTATTGGATACAGTTAAGTGAAACATCAGTTTTATCAAAATCATGTTTGTTTTAAATACAGCTGTATTTTTGGCGATAGTAAATGGATATATATTTAGGTCAAAGGGTCAGCAGTACATACGCCAATTATATATCTCTTATTTGATGCGACCCCCTTAAAATTAGCTTCAAAATGAGGTCTTCTGATACACGAGTATATACTGTAGTTGATATATATATATATATATATATATATATATATATTTCTTATAAATTAGAGTTAAAAATTATACTGAAATTTGAGCTCGAGTTTATATTTATAACATAATGCACACTCTTGTAATATTTATTGGTTTGGTTTGTTTTACGGTATATCGACCCGATATTCATTTATTAATGTTTGGCTGGAATCATGACTATTCATGCAACTCAAGCATTGATCATTTCCAATGGCGTTCTTTAGCCAATTTCACTCACAAGGCTTGGATCAGCAGATATTACAACTTTCAAAAGGTGCCAAATACTGGAATCATTTTTACAGTTTTATATTATTATCCTTAACAAACCGACTATGGTAAGATTCTCATTAACTTGTATTATTTACATTATTCAGACTGTTGTCCTCATCGTCATTGCCATTTTCACAACGTTTCGGCCATTGTATGCCCTGGCCTTCTTCGGGATCTATCTATATCTCTGAGATGAGGTATTATGATTATTTACATTATTTAGACTGTTATCCTCATCGTCATTGCCATATTCACAACGTTTCGGCCGTTGTATACCCCGGCCTTCTTCGGAACCTGTCTATATCTCTGAGATGAGGTATTATTCAGGACTTTTATCCTCATCGTCTTTGCCGCATTCACAAAGTTTCGGCCGTTGTTGCCTTCTCCAGATGATTGGAATTTCGAACCGAACGCTTTATTTCGTCCACCGGGGTAGATTGTTCTAGTTCTACGTGCCTCTTCCGGGTGTCTCATTTATTTCCTTTTTAAATTTTTTGGTTCACCACTGTCCTTGAGGACACGTGGCCCAGTGGATAATTTCCAATCACCTGAAGAAGGCCGGAGCGTACAACGGCCGAAACTGTGAATATGGCAATGAAGATACCGAAGAAATCCTCCTGTCTCGCAATACTCTGCCCAGCTTTTGGAATAAGTCCTTGGTCATCCCAATACGTTTACGGATCTCAATGTCGCACATACCGTCCTCTGCTAAAACGCTTCCCAGATATTTAAACTTCCGCGTCTGCTTGATTCTAGTGTTCCCGACCTGCAAATCGCATTTCGGGCTCATCTTTTTACTGATGACCATGCATTATTTTCTTGTAGTTTGTGCTTAGTCCTTTCTTCACACTCTCCGTCGCTACCTTCTGTAGGAGATTTTCTTCTATAATTTCTTTTCCGTATCCGTTATCAGTACTGTGTCATCTTATTGACAGGGAAGAAGTTAATGAAAAGAGGAAGTCGACCGTAATCGGGATTGTAGAATCACGATTCTTTCCCGAGTTGCATAATTTGATTTTTTTAGGTTTTGAATTCATGTTGTCTTTCTCCTAGTCTAGTTGCCAACCATGGATATAGAACCTACTCTGTCCTGATTAGTAACAACTAAAGCATTCATAACATTCACATGGGTATCTGCACGACAGTGACTGTAACGAACTAGACTGGAATTCGAACTCGGTCCTCCGATTTCTCAATTCGAGTTGTTTTCCCTGTTCATTGGATATTGATTATTTTGAACTGAATTAATTAACTTGATAATGGCGATTGATATGTTGTACAAAACACTAAGCTAAAGCTTCAGTCAAAATAAGTTATTGCTAAATAGTTCTATACATGTACGAAAGAATAAGGTGATGTGAGATTTTGGCGTGTGTACAGAATTTTGAGCCAACTCTGAACTTAAATTAATAACTCGTAATTACAGTATTCTACAAATGTGCCGACTCTTTTCATGTACGGTATTTTATTTCTAAATAAAATGCGAATGATGAAAAAAAAATGAATGGACCAGTCATGAAGAAAAGAAGAAAAAGACCAGATAAGCAAGTTTTTTTGTTTTTTTTTTAATCCATGAAATCCTGAAGCGTTCAAAAATATCGGAGTAACCAATCCCCAAGTATTTCGGCCCTTAAGATACGATCCTTGAAAAAGAAATTTCAGACGAACGTGGCAACGGTATTTTAGACATTTATTTGTACAACCATTTGTGGCTTGCTTTCTGTTGTTTTTTTTTTTTTTTTTTTTTTTTTTTTTTTTTTTTGTTTTTTGTTTTTTTGGCGGGAGGATTTCCTTCTTTCTTGTCAGCTACTTTTCCTTTTTATTGGATTTCTTTTTAGATTATTATCTTTTTACTTGGATTTTGCATTCGCTTTCTTTTTAACTTTCTTTGTTTTTCTATCTTGTTTACCTGGCTTTCTTTACTTGCCTTTATTTTCTATTTTCTTTCTGCGAATTCCATTCCTTTGTTTTTCTTTCTTTTTCTTTGTCTTTCTTTCTCCGAATTCCATTTTTTTGTCTTCCTTTCTGTAAATTCTTTTCCTGTGTATTTCTTTCTGCGAATTCCTTGTTTGTTGTTTTTTCTGTGAATTATTTCTGGATAGTTCCACTCAATAGTCACTTAATAATCAAAGCACTCAGCCGCCTGACACCGCTATTTATACACCTGGCGGAAAAAATATATATTCGTAAGTCCAGAGTGTCACGCTCAATTTGCTATAATACTAAGGAGACTAACAGGGGCTACCACCCCGGGTCAGAGCGAACCTGTGAACAACAGCAATTAAGAGGTGGCTTCATGGTCCTCAAATCTCCCATCCTTGTTGCTGGATGTAGTTTATCGTCATAAACAGGACGAGAGATAGACTGGTTAACTCTTTTATAACACATTCTACTCTTAGGTACCACAGGCACAGGTATTTTTTCCACGGTGCTAATGCGAGATGTGGGACTGAAAACCAAACAGGAGACAAAATGGTTTGGTTTGTTTTGTTTTATGGCATATAAATCTTAATGGGTTATTTAATGACGACAAAATATTTATTAAAATGAATTGCAGGTAATATTTTTTTCTTCAAAAAATCTGTTGCTGGTAATGTCTTTTTTTAAATGTATCTCTATCTATAAAAGGAAGGATGTGTGTGTAACGAATGCATGGCCGCAATTTTCGACGGATTTGCACCAAAATTTACATGCGCATGCTCCAAGTTAGTGGGAAAGCCAAGACCGACGTAATATTTCCCAACTCCCATCGATAGTGGAAATAATCGATTTTTTCATGCTTCTCTACGGCAGTTTTCATGTAGTTTCACGTAGTTTATCGTCATACCCAGGACGGGATAAAATGGTTTCCTTGGCCTCCAACTATAATAAGCCTATTGAAATAACAGCTATCATTTATCTGAAATCATTTTTCTTTTATGTGCCATCGCCTCTTCAAGACGTGAGCGATCGTTGCTCTCCACAGCTTCTCTTTTTTAACTATTAAAAATGTTTACTTTTTACTATTTTTTAATCCATTTTCACAAGCTTGTTAGGTAGGTTGTTCATGGTCCCTCTTTGCTTCCATATATTCCTTGAGAGTTATATTCTTCAAACACCTTTTTTCTAACGGAATATCTCCAAAATTTCAACAATCTCTTTCTGATTCTAAGTGCAAACGTCGCTTGTTTTTAACTTTTTACTTAAAACGTTCTTGTTGCTCATACCCGCTGTTCATGATACTCCCAGCATTCTTCTGTAGTATCATATCTTTGTGCCTTCAACTATCCTTTTCCTCTGTGAGGAAATTATCCAGTATTCAGTGTCATGTAGGAGAATCTATTTGACGCAATCTTTTCTTTGTTTGTGACGAAACTTTCCTGTTTCTTAATACTTTGTTTAGTCTTTTGGACTGCTATTAATTTTCAAATTAAATTAGAAGACTTTTAGAAAGTTTTTTTTTTGTTTTTTTTCTATAAACATTAGCTTCTAAAACTTTTATATAAGTCTTATGTGCAGAAAAAAAGCCTATATGTCTCGTTCCAGAAAATAAGTACAAACGAACTGCAAAAAAGGCGTATTTAAGATCAAATTATAAATGTTTATAGTAGGATATGAAATATAAAAACAATCTTCATTTTATCAGATCACATAAAAAATATAGAATTAAGAATCTTGAAAATTTAACATTTGACTTAGCTCCCACTCTATTTTAGCATCTCTTTTCGCTCCCCCTCCATCACTTTTAATCTGATTTAACCCCCCGAATTCTGATGTGCAGCTTGTCCTGACAAAAATTCTTTTCATCAGAGAAGAACCAGATTGTTTCTGGTTCAACAGGATGTTTCAACTTGTTCGGGGTTTTCTTTGCCTTTGCTAGATGGTTTTCTTGAACCTTTTTGAAAGAAGTTGACCTTTATGCCCTTTGTATGACTAGTAGCAGACGTCTTCATTCAATACCAGGTTCATGGTGGAAATTACAAAACCCATTTACCATGCCAAATCCCACATTACCTTGCTTGTGTCTTCCATCATTTCTCCTGCAGTTGTTGGATGAATTCTGGTGTGTGGAGGCAATCAGAATGTCTGCTGCATTCTTTCCTACAAGCCACGTCCTCGTAGTCTTTGTTGCAGCTCTCCATTTCACATCTTATTGTTTTAATGGAGTTCAAAGTGTATTGAGCAACTGTCATGATTCCAGCAATTTGATGCCCAGCACAAATCATTATGATGCAGGTTACCCCTCTCCAATATTCAGGTGGATTTCACTCGTTCATGTCAGTTAACTTTGGAACCTCTAAAACTGTACTAAGTTTCACAATGCCGTTCACTGTTTACAGATATTCTAAACGTTAAACTCTGTCAAATTTAACCTAAACACTCTGTAGCTTACACCTAGTACAGTCTATTTTGCTGACGACAATGCTTTCTGTTTGCTTACATTTAACAGTTCGTCCTTTCTTCTTGCTTTTCTTTTGTACCTTATCTAAGAGTTCATTACGTTTTCATTTTGAGTCTGCAACTAAGATGATAAGTGGTGCTGGAAAGTTGACCATTACACACCTCTTCTATGACTGCTAGCGAATGTCCTCATTCAAAGAAAGCTTCATGATGGAAATTGCAACAACCATTTCCCATGCCGAACTCCGCTTTCTCTTGCCTGGATCTTCCATCACTTTCTCCTGCATTGGTTGGATGAATTCTGGTATATGGAGGTAATCAGAACGTCTGCCGCATTATTTCCTACAAGCCATGACCTTGTAGACTCCATTGCAGTTCCCCATTTCACAATGCCGTTCACTGTTTGCAGATATTCCAAACTGATTGTCAAATTTAGACCGAACACCCTGTATGTATCAATTTAAATGTTATTTTTAGTCGATATTCATATTCGAGTGAACGCTACAGTATATTTATTTATTTTTGTCTATAGGCCTGAATATTTGAGAAATGTTAATGAGAATAAAAAATTTAAAATATGCACTCTGCCGAAAAGTGCGTATTTTTCTTTTGTAAAATTTCTCGAAATATATAAGCGAGGGCAAGATCTAAAAGGTCAGCCAATCTAACAGGGATCTCATTTCACAATCCTCACACTTGCTCCATATGTCGCCTCCTTTGTAAATCACTAGCGGGTCTTAAATGCCACTTAAGATTATCGCACAAACTTTCATAACTGAATCAATAAGCTGGCAGATCCTCATACGTCGAAACCGACGGGAGAGTCCATTATATATATATATATATATATATATATATATATATATAATAGCTGGCCACTCATATTCGAGGATACCTGTCTACTAGGGCGGCTAGCCAATCCCTATTGCAGACACTTGCTCAGGCACATTTGTGTTTTGCTCAACATCCACAGAGCCCACCTGTGGTTTATACTGCAACTATGCTGAGCAGACCTTATTTACAGTTCCTGGGAAAGAGCGTGTTATCTCGCATGATCAACAATTTGGACAAGGCCAGCATGTTCAAGCCCTCGGCCATGATGACTTCCATATTCCAAAACAATATGAAAAAAATAAAAACATTAAATTTTAAAATTTAACCCAATCACCCTGTAGCTTACACCTAGTACTGTCTCTTTTTGTTTGCTTCCAGTTTTCTCACAGTTAACAGTTAGTCCTTTCTTCTTGCTTTTCTTTTGTACCTTATCTAAAAGTTCATTTCGTTTTTCTTTCGGGTCTGCAACCAAGATGATAGGTGATGCTGGAAAGTGAGGATTGGACATCTGCAGCCCAGATGTAATAGCGATACTCCTTTTTCGGTCTGATCTGACTGTTGCAAAGATAGATTATGACAGAAGGCGCCACCCATAACTTTCTGGAACCGCACAAAGAATTGGCCATTTATTATTCCGTTAACTGATCGCAAGAATTTAGCAACACTCTAAGACTTTCATAGTGCCGGTTACGTCAAGAGCTTTCAAAATGAATCGGGTCTAACATTTGCTTTCAGTCTTTGGTCGAGGGTACGAAAAATGGCAAGAATTCCATAAGAACCAAATCATTTGCCACGAGTTGTTCTCCATTAACCCAATATAAAAAAAATTCACTTTATTTTTTATCATTTCTTTTTCAAATTAGACCCTTGTTTTGGTTATAGGCAGTCGCAATTGGGAGTAAAGCTAAAAGAAAATGTAAGGAATTTAAATTTTATAAGGATTAAAAAGATTAATATATAGAGACCGCATTGAAATATGTTATTAGATTTAACTGCCTGGGTAGTGTAGCAACAAACAAGAACAGAACACTGAAGAAATATGATAATGGAGAAAGATGCTTTCCGGAAACTAAGCAAAGTATTAAGTAATAGGAAAATTGGAAATACTTAAAAACAGAAATGAATGCTGAATTGATATACAATATCTAATTTCCTATATGGCAGCAAATGCCTGACAATCACATATATGAAAAATCACTTGAAAGGACAGAGATATGGTTCTGCCGAAGGACACTGACAATAACACTGACAGAGAATATGTGAGCAACGACGAAGTTTTAAATTGAACACAAACTTATACATACGAACAGAAAGAAATCTGAAACTTATATGACACATAATCGGAAAATAGGGCCTGGAGAATTTAACACCCACAGGACATACTGAAGAAATAAAATGCAATGGCGGGGTGCAACAAGTAACAGGCTTGACGAGTTTTTGTAAAAGTATAGGGTCAAAGTGTTTTGAGAAATAGGCAAAAGTTACTCATCGAAAAAACCAACGACAGGAAACTTTAGGGTTGTGGAGTTATTGTCATTTACAATCAGACGATTGTCCTTACCTTCATTGTTATTATCAATGCGTTTCGGCCATTCTGCCCTCCGGCGTTCTTTAGGTCTTTTTTTCATCCAGGTAACCTTCTAGGAATTTCTAACATTTTTTTTAAAGACGGGATAAAGCTTTAAAGAAACGTACCCCCTGTAGATTAAATAAATGTTTGAATTCGAAATTTTACGAACCCCAAAAAGCAAGTTGATTTGATGGTATTTCTGCAATATTCCTGCAATAGTCTCCAAGAAGTGTACTTCCGAATTGGCTGCTGTTCTCTAAAAACTCTACAATAGACGCCTTTCTGATTCTTGCTTTCCTACTT